CCCCAAAACCCCAAAACCCCAAAACCCCGTGTCATAAATAATAAATTGTGTGAATCTAGATAAAATATTAAGAGATAATATTCAAGCATATTTGCAAGATTAAGTATCAGAGTCCATAAAATCCCAATTTTTAAGGTTGCATCCTGCTGGATCAAGTCCACAATTTACATAAAAGTTATTACACTCAGTCTGGCATATCTTGTATGTCTCTCCAGACTCTTCATCACAAAGTGGAAAATTGTACCTGCATGAAAATTATTTATAAGACTCTAGACAATCAATCGAGGTAGTCATTTCTAGATTTCCCACTTGCGAACTTTCCATAGGGTATTACAGTTCCAAAAGCAATCTGTTTTCCGTATTTAATATAACTTGCTCCTATACCTAGAAGTCTTTCTCCTCTAAAGTCCAGTTTGACCATAAGTACTAAGAGTGATCATAAAATTAAGATTTATAATTACATGATAAACAGGCACACATACATAGTCGTAAATATATTCATTGCAAAAAGGAGTTTGAGATTTAATCATAGATCGAGGAACACACATAGCTTCTTCTATTCCTTTAAGTGTACAAGCCAATTCTCTTTTAGGAATCATTCTGTTGTCGAACTCTTCCTTGGTTTACTATAAACTTGAACTTAATTAGATTTTAATTGTTTACCTTAAACTGAAACATAATATCAAAGTCAGAAATCTGAATAGCTCTGTTGTTGATTTCATTCTCTTTTGAGTAATTAGATAAATTTATAAATTAGTATTAAAATATTTAGCTGATTATTAAATGTTTGTAAGGAAGAATAATTTGTTAATTAAATGGATAATATGAGTTTAAAAAGTAGATCTTAGGCAGGTAAGAGATCTAAAAATAGAGCATCTTCTAAACCTTAAAAGTTGCAGGAGGTATTCAAGATTGTTTAGTAAGTTTCGATTTCTTTATTATAAATGATAGAGAATCAAAGAAGAAAGCTGATATGCTTCACAAATCCTACTAGAATGAAGGGGTATCAGACTTAAGGTTGAATAAATATCTCTTACCTAAAAATGAATCTCTAAACAAATCGCCTTAATAACCAATAATCAATTATTAAAATGAGGCTAACATCAATTCTATGAAATATATTCCACCAATATAGAGCTATAGCAATACATCCTAGAATTTTTATTCACCCTAAAACTTGAATTATCAACCTCAACAACAGAATTTTTTTTCATTCAATAATTAAAGTGCTCCTAAGATAGATCAAAGCCTGAATTAGTATGGACAATTGAATTCTTTTTCGCAATAATACCTACCAAATTAAACTTCAAGTAGCTTATAATTTGGAAGAATTGAAACAAAACTAAAACCTTCCAAAAATTTTGGGAAGACTAAAATGAAAAATATCAAAGATAGCCTTGATATGCTAGTAGTGAAAAAATTATAAGATAAGCTCCAAATAAATAAATCGATAAAACCTCCAATAAATAAAAAAGATTTCACAGATCATTTGAATGAGGAATAAGCTACGATTCAGACTAAATAATATAATAAACCTCCAGTCGGATTAAAATTTAAAATAAAAGATTTAAGTCAATAAAAATTTGCTCTCAAAAATGAAATTATCACTCCCAGTAATTATTCTAGTAGTACTGAGTTAGATAATAATTAAACTTCTAAACTAAGTCAATAAACACTATCTTTGGATTTGAAGAAATTAGATCAGAATGAATAATTAAGTAAAAGAGACTTTAAGATTAAGAATTTAAGCTCAAGTAGAGAACGACTCAATCAAGCTGTATCTTAAAGAACTCATAGATCAATATAAAATTCCACAATCCAAGAAAAATAGTCATTATAAGATAATAAGATAGCTGAAAAGAAGTTTCTCAAATTAGTCAATAAATGCTACTTAAGGCAGAAGAATTTGTTCCTGAGAAAGTTTACTTTATTTGGATCCTAATATAGAATCCATCTAGTAAATAAACAGTAAAGAGAAATATCCTAAAATCTAAATTCTATAACACAAAATCTATTGCAAAAAGAGCAGCAATAAAATGAAAGACTAAGATTAATGCAGCTTGAGTAGCAAGTATTCTCTGAAAAATAACAAATGCTATCCCGCTAATAAGCTATGACAAATCAGACTGAGATATCTGAAATTTAGAGCATCATAGAAGTTTAGGTTGAGAAGGCTGAGGATAGTGATAAAGACTCAGTTACTGAGAATTAAATTGATAATGTTGAGAATGTGTCATTTATTAGTAAAGATGTTATAATTAGTAGAAAACTACCTACATTCGCATAAACTGTATCATTTGTCCAGAAACCTTTAAAATTCAAATCTAAGAAGTCATAGTAGGAATAATAGATATAGTAAATCATCGAAACTGATACTGATTATGGTATCTTTAAGCATCCATTAATATCCTGGGTTGACAATAATGAAGAAATCATTTACCGAATTGAGCAGGAAAATGATTCCTAAAACCATAATAGCAATTTTGTTAAAAAGATTAAAAGAAAGAAAATATCCTAAGTTTTCATTTAAACAAAGCAAAAATAGTAAACCATAACTGCATTTACCAGAGTAACATCGAAACCTATAATCAGCAATAAATTTAAGGGACAATTACCTTTAAATTAATTGGATATATAAAAATTGCCTAATAATACTATTAAAAATATCCATGAACAAAAAAATTAACCCATTTAAAGTAGCGATAGAATTGACATCAGGAGATTTTAGCCAAATGATACAATTTATAAACCATAAGTCTTACTAAATAAAGACTCACCAAATACTAATAAAACTTATAGATTTCAACTTAAAATTTTCCATTAGGAGAATCTAAAATAATTCTACCTTACTTTTAAGTTTATTGACGAGCTGGAAATATAGATGACGATATAAGATAGATAAAATAATCAAAATTTAGCTTTCTAACAAAGATTCACAGTTAATCAATTAAAATTACAATTCGAAAAGATTTTTGTTATTTCATAGGATCAGAAACTTTTGCAAATATTTAACTAACTATAGGAGAATTTTGAAAGCTTATCTAAACAATTTTTGAAGTCTAAGGTAATTAGAATTTAATAAAATCTTGATGAGTTGCAAGATTTATAGTATAGAGAGGATGATAATTAATCTCCTGAAATATTTGATAAAAATTAAAAGGCTATAATTTTAAAGTAAAGCAAGAGATTCGATAAAAATCAAAAATAGCAATATAATTAAAGAAGAATGAGAGAAATTAAATATTCATAATAAATCATCCAATTCAAAGACAAAACTGAATCAATGAAAAGAGTATCAGTTTAGTAAATTTTTAATGAAAATAAAACCTATTCTCACATTTTAATATTAAGTGATTATAACTACAACTAGAGCCTTTATGGATTAAAAGTCATAAAAATTTTTGATCAAAAGATCATCCAGGTAATATAAATTTTTCTTTAAATATATTTAGAAATCTTTAGCGCAACACAAGGCAATCAAAGAAAAAATAAGAGTTTAAGGAGAATGTTTTAAACCAATGCGATAAGATTTTTGTTACTTTCAAAATATTTTTTCAAGCCAAACTAGTAATTATTATATTTTTTACATCTATAGAGCAATCATTAATTCCATTTGAATACTAGTTCATAAAAAATTTTGGTGCAAATATTTGAACTCCCGCTCTAAACTCAATTTAGTATTAATCTAACCCTGATAATTTTTTTCTAGGAAAATTAATCATGAAATTTAAGGACATCTATTAATGACTTTAGGGAGCTAATTTGAGAGTGTCAATTTTATTAAAATTCAATAAGCTAATGGATCATATACTTTTTTATTCATTTCAAAAAATGACAGTATTCTGTCCTTCTTTGACAGCTTTTTGCAAGAAAATAAATTAAGATTATTCATTGAGTCATAGGATGTGCAAGATAGATACTTGACAAAGGATAATCTTCTATATATAGGAAGATAAATGATTGCTCAAAATACTCTAGAATTGAGAAGACCCACTGGTCAGCTGTTATCAATCATAATGAGTAACTATAAGCTTAAACAAATGATTGAAGAATAATTTCTCGATGAAAAGAGGGGAACTATGTATGAGGAAGATCTCTTTCAAACTAATTTAATATTAAAGCCTGTAATGAATCAACCTAAGTTTTATGAGCAGGAATTCTTGAATAAAATTGGAACTGATTAAAAGATTTTGATTTACTAAAAATGTAAGAAGATTAAAGGAATGCAAATGATCATTACTGTTAACTATCTTAAATTGCTAAGTAATATATTATTTTTTACTAAATTATAGAGATTTGGGAGCTAACTCTCTATGTTATAAAAAATCAGAAAACTTTTCAGGCAAAGTTTAATTATAAAGATCTTCAGAAAATAAGCAAGCTAATGAAACTTGGTCTATAAAACTCTTATAACAAGTCAAAAATATCTGGAATTGAAAAGATATCTAAACCTAAGTTCAATTTAGAGGAAAGAAATCAATTTTCTAAAACAGATTTGAATTTTAATAAGCAAAAGCTTGAGAAAAAAACATCTATCTTTACCTCCAAGAAGTTGAAGGTATTTGATAAAGCAACGAATTCATTCAAGGGAAAGGAATTTACCGAAGATTATGCTGTTGAAAAAGCAGAGAGATACTTGCAAAATAATGCTAATTTTTCAAATCGATAGAGTGCCAACAACCTTAAATTCTTAGATTCAGGTGAGCACACAAATGGTCCCACTATTTCCTACATGTTTGATGGATCTATGAATTCAAATTTAAAACTGAGAAGGACAGTTTCAGACTCATCTTTTTTCGAATCAACCCATAGATCTCATTTAAAGATATCAGATGCTTTTAAAACTAAGAAAAAGAAAAAGAATTCGGATAAGATTATGATGGTTGATGAAAAAGAAAAGATCAGAGATAGAATGTTTAACAACTCCTATTTGAAAACCTATTTTAAAATTTAGGATGAGCGAGCTATTAAGAAAATGGCATTAAATGAGGATTAAATAGAAATGTCCATTGAATCAAAGGAAGAGCATGAGTCAATGATGAGAATCACAAATGAGCATTTCTTTAATACAAAATAATAAAGCAAATTTTGGGTTCTATTTGTAAAGTCATTGAACATCTCAGATAAATATGATAAAGAACACCGAATGAGAATAAGGCTAGAATCAGATAATTTATGCTATTAAAAAAGATTAAGATAATAAATATTTAATGATGAGATTTTCTATCTTGAAAAACTAAAACTAATTGATTAAAAATTAGTATTCAAAAATGTTAGAGTCTTTCTTAACCCCAGAAAGATCGTATTTGATAATATATTTGGTAATTTTAGCAATTTCGCTCTTGTTAGAGACAGTACGAGATACAATGCAAGTGATTATGACATTTAAATTTATGCTTTTGATTATTTAAGCGGGGAAATTGCTAAGTCTATTATTAAAATGGAGAAGGCTATTGAATAAAGTGGATTTTAATATTAAGATGTCAAGAATCAAAGGTTAATGCTGTCCGAAGTAATTTAACTAGCTAAGCTTTTAATCTATGACGACTAGTATAATGAAGGTATAGCTAATTTGAGAAAGCATACAACTCAAGATGATTTAAAATATGTACCTCCTCAGAGTAATTTGGTATAAAAGATGCTTAGATAGGATTACTATGAGAACTGTATGCAATAAAAAAATGAGGTGAATCAAAAAAGGAAAGAACTTATAGATTGGAAGAAAAACTAGGCTAAGAGAGAAGGAAAATCTATTTATAGCAAGGTGATATCTTTAGATTCAGGGGGCAATAAATATCAATACCTTAGACTAAATTTAATCCCCACACCTAATAATTTATTGTTCAGATTGTACAGCCAGAATCTTTTAATAAAAATTGATGAGAGAATACCTCTTATTGATATATCAGAGAAAACATAAATCAGTTTAGAAATACTTAACTAATATAGTTAGTATCGAAGATAAAAGAAAAGAATATATAAGAGAAATTTTTAATTCATTGAGGAACTTTCTGAAAGGATTCTTAATGCCTATGTTCCTTAAATGACAAAGAATTTTTTAGAGAAATATAATGATGAAGGAGATAAGAACATTCAGTAAGCATAGTTTATAATCTTATTTAAAGACGATGAGAAAATTTAGAACTAAAATTAGATTCAAAATGACATCTCAATTACCAAAACGAGACTAATTAATCTAACTATTGCTTCAAGATAAGCTACAGCCAACAATCATTAAAGGCAAAATTCATAAAGTCCAAGCATGAAATTGATAGACTCCGTTTAAAATAGTATAAATAAGACAAATAACAAAAATAAAATATTCACACTGATGAATTCAACTTAGAAATCTGAAACATAGCTTCTTGGCTTGCCAAGTATGGCTAAAAATAAAAAGAAGAAAAAAAAGAAAAAGAAGAAGAAGATTTTAAAGAGGAATATTTAGTTCGATAATGTGCAATAAACTAATCTAGATATCGAGCAATTCTGATTACTGTTTAATTTGATTTTATCTATTCAATCTCATAGTATTTACCAGAATAATACTCTAAGGGGTTTTGGGGTTTTGGGG